TTTCTCGCTGAGCTTGTTGAACAGTCACATCAGTACTAAACGGAAGCAACATATTAAGTTCTTCATATGTTTTCTTGAAATCCATGAAATAGCTTGTAAGAGATCTATCGCCTTTGTCTGCCCTGTAAAAGGCTTTGCACACATCATAAATGCGGGACATATTCCCCTTTCCGGAGTACAAGAACTCTAGATAGTTCATTAATTTCTTAACAAATCCACATTGAGTGACTAAACCAACCACCTCACTTTCAATGGAGTTGCGTATCTGCAAGAACAAACGGGCATTCTCCCTCAACCAAGACTTTCTCAAGTCATTATTAGGAGGGTCATCAGTCAAATGGTTATCCATAGCAATACTCGGCAAATATAGTTGAACAGTTTTACTCCAATCCAGATAATTAGAGCCATTAAGCTTATGCTCAGTTATTTTTGACATCACTGGAATAACATCCGACATAACTACTGATTTCTTGTCTGCCATAATCCTCAAAATTCAAATAAACAGAATATTTTGAACACCGAAAATCAATCAGAGCACACCTGTTGAAAACACCGGAATGGATGTGCACGTAACAAAGCACAAATATGTGCTATACCGGACGAGGCGAGCCAAAAGACAACGATCGAAAAAAATTTTCCGGCGACAGATGTGCCTCCACGTGCCGGCGCGCGTGATTGTGGCAGAATCTTCAGGCGGTGCGTGAGACACATGCGCAGGGCTGCTGACTGCCGGACTTTGCAGAGACTAGATGCTCTGACTGCTCCAAGGAGGTGACCCGAAACACCCAGAAATTTTCCTCTACCTACTGTTTATTTAAAACAAAAGGGCAGGCAGAGACTAGATGCTCTGATACCATGTAAAATAAGAGTAAACAGAGGAAGAAGAAGAATTTGTTATATTATTCATCAATCTCGTATGTATATATACAAGTTACAAATTCTATGTTAGGAAAGAAGACTAATCAAATTCCTACAAATCTGTCCTACAATCAAGGTAAATCATATCTCCCTAGTATTTACTTCCTATTTTAATTATACAGTCTGTAACATCTTCCTATTTTAATTATACAGTCTGTAACAAATATCAAACGTTTGGATTCCCTGGAAAATGTTCATGATGAATTTCTGTTAGTTTTCATTATATATAGGACGAGGGTTTTGTAGAAGTTCCTCATGTCTTTTCTTGTCCTGGAAGGTACATTGGAAATGGAGTGTGAGAATTACACGGTTGCTCATTCAATGTCTGGAATCGGCCGAGTATATGGAGATTCGAAATGCACTTATTATGTTGACAAAAATTTCAAGTGTCTTCCCAGTAACTAGAAAGAGTGGGATTAATCTTGAAAAACGGGTAATAAATGGTGTTTCTATTTGTTCAGTTTTTTCCCCTAAATTTTGTTGTAGTTTTTTCCATTTGGCTGTCAAGTAAAGGTAGTTCAGGAAGACGACAACCTGCTTGAAGGGATAAAGGGGACTCAATTCTGGGTCAAGATAAGGATGGCCCTTGAAACTTGTTGAATGATGCCATTGCCTTTTTATCTTTTCTGTTTCAGGTAGCTAAAATTAAGGGGGATGAGAGAGAAGATCTCAAGGTATTGGCGACAGGTGTTGCTGCAGCTCTGGCTTCTAGGAAGGTAGTTTGAGTGATAAAACAGTGATGTTTTTACCCTGCTATTTGACTATTTTGTCACTCTAGAGCAAGTATCTTGATTTTATCCAATCTTACAAATTTATTGTTAATTCTCTTTCACTGCAGAGCTCATGGGTTTCTGAAGAAGAATTTGGCATGGGCTATGTTGACCTAAAGCCCGCACCATCACCTGCTACAAAGTCTTCAGCTGGTAATTTAGTAGGTGGATCTAATGGTCCTGCCCTTAATATTTCTCAAACTGAGTCTGTTGGTCAAAGGAATATGAGTACAGCAACACAACTTCTAGACTCTGGAAATGCTGTCAAGGATCTCACACCACGAACAAAACCTGCAGATGGGAGGGTGGAACGGGCAGAAGGCACTACAGTTAATAAACCTGATCCAGGGCAAGCAAAAGGAAAAAGTGGCTCATTAGCAAATGGGTTGGATGCTCAGATGACTGTGCCTTCTGGTGCTGTACAAGCTGGACCATCCAGGCAAACTGAAACTCAAAAACGTGCAGACGAACCTGCAAAGGGCTCATTGGATGAAAACATGCCCAAAGTTGCACCAAAGACTGCTACTGAATCAGAGGTACGTCAACCAGAAATTATGCTGATAACTGCTCTTTTTCTTATTTGCGTCTCTCTGGTGTCAAATCTTATTTAATATTCTAGATATATTGTAGAGATCCCTCTTCAATTTGTAGTTGCTTGGCATAGCGTGATGTCTATATCAGTTGGAAATTTTTGAGTTAATAGAACATCTCATATGGATCTTGCATAGTTACATATGTAAACATTGATAACTTCATTTGTTTGAATGCCTAAAACATTTAACTTGAGCAAATTAATGGAGCCTTCCTCTCTGTGTGAAACATTCTGCTTAAAAAGACACTGTTTAAGGGTTATTCAGATGATTACCTTCAACCCATACCATTATGCAAGCCAGCATTAGCTTTTTAATCATGTTATTTATGGTAAGCTTTGGATTTGTTAGGTGATATTCAATGGTGCTTATGTTAGTTTATTGTGAAAAAACAATTCTTGTTCAAGCATTTAATAGTTAGTGATTGATGCCTCTACTGATCTATAATCTGTTTCACCTTTCACCCAAGAGCTTCACGTATGGTTTTTAGTCACCTTAGCTTTTTTGGGTGGTATCAGTGTTACTGCAAAAGTTATTATATTATTATGCTTTATATATAATAGGCAGCGGAACTAGTTTCATTTCTTTGTCCGATTACTTCTAACTCATTATTCTTTGTTCACAGATGAGGCCCACAGTAAAACGTTCAATTCCTACTGGATCTCTTTCCAAGCAACAAAAACAGGAGGTTACAAAAGATGATAACAAATCTGGAAAAGCAGTTGGAAGAATCCCTGGTCCTTCTAGTGAGAGAGATATTTCTGCTCATCCATTAGAAGGTAGGCAAGGTGGGGCAGCCAATGCTGCTTCTGCAGTTGCATCAAATGGTAACACAGTTCCAATTAACACTAAAGGTTCAACCACATCTGCCAGAACTTCCATGGATGTGTATGGTAGTATAACGAAGATGGACAGTATAGCTGCTAAGCCATCTGATGCAAGGATTCCTGCTGGAAAGGATGTGGATGACTCTGAAATTTCTGAAGTGGCAAGGCCCTTCTCATCCCGGCCTGTTCATTCTCCTCTCCGTGATGATTCTTTCAATTCTTCAAAATCTGCAGACAAGCAGCAGAAGAGAACTAGTCCAAATGAGGAACAGGACAGACAGAACAAACGGAGGAAGGGAGACAATGAAGTGAAAGATTTAGAAGGTGATGTCAGATTCTCTGAAAGAGATAGGTCCATTGATGCCAGGATAGCGGAGAAACCTCATTCTCTGGATCTTGACAAAATAGGAATTGATGAGCATATTCAAAGCAGGGCTACAGAGAAGCTTCTGGATCGGAAAGAGAAGGCCAGTGAAAGATATGACAGAGACCACAGGGATAGACTGGAGCGTCCTGATAAATCTCGTGGTGAGGATATCCTGGCTGAGAAGTCAAGAGACAGGTCAATGGAAAGATATGGAAGAGAGCGTTCAGTTGAAAGAATGCAAGAGAGGGGAACAGATAGGAGCTCTGATAGGGTAGTTGACAAATCTAAGGATGACAGAAATAAAGATGATAGGAGTAAACCACGCTACAGTGATCCATTGGCTGAAAAATCTCATCTTGATGATCGTTTTCATGGGCAAAACTTGCCTCCCCCACCTCCTCTTCCTCCCAACATGGTGCCACAATCAGTTAATGCTAGTCGAAGAGATGAAGATGTTGATAGAAGGGTCAGTAATACCAGGCATATTCAGAGGCTTTCTCCCAGACATGAAAAAGAACGGAGACGCTCTGAGGAGAATTCAATAGTTTCACAGGACGAAGCAAAGCGTAGGAGAGATGATGATTTTAGGGAGAGAAAAAGGGATGAGCGAGATGGTTTGTCAATGAAGGTATGCTGTGCTCCTTTTCCACCATAGAGTATTCACTACATGTTTATATTCTTTTTATTCATTGTCAGATGAAATTGTAATAGGCATATCCTACTGGAGGATCATTAACCGTTGGTTATAACTAAGGACCACCTGTTTCTCCTCCCACTATTATCTGCAATCCTACGTAAAGTAGCATTACTTTTCCACCATAGTATTTGCCCCTCTAAGTGGACTATTTGTAAATCCCTAGCATCTATATGTAGAAAATCTTTTAGATTATTTATTTATTTTTGTTGTATACAGGTGGATGAGAGGGAGAGGGACAAAGCAAACCTTTTGAAGGAGGACACCGATGCAAATGCAGCATCTAAGAGGAGGAAACTTAAAAGAGAGCACTTACCATCAGGGGAATCTAGTGAATATTCACTGCCAGTCCCTCCTCCACCTCCTATTGCTATTGGTATGTCGCAATCATATGATGGACGAGAAAGAGGGGATAGAAAAGGTGCCATGGTTCAAAGGGCAGGCTACCTGGAGGAACCAGTGCCAAGGATGCATGGCAAAGAAGCTACTGGCAAGATTACCCGACGGGACAGTGATCAGTATCCTAGACAATAACCATCATAATGTTTTTTAAATGATTTCTGCACATGCATGCATTTTGTTTTCTCTGCGCTATGTACATCTCGTTCATGTGTTGGAACGAGTGTGGATTAATGTGCTCATATTTTGCTATGCATCCCTCTTTGTTTTCATGGATCATTGTACTTCAACATTCTGGCAAAATTGCAAAGCCTTAACCTCCCTTTGTCCAGGTTTCCAGATAGAGATTGGGAAGATGAGAAGAGACAGAGAGCTGAGGCAAAAAGGAGGCATCGAAAATAGCACTTGAATGATGTGCGGTCAATGTTGGCTTTCAATCTCTATCCTTTGTACTTCCAGACCCGAACCATTTACTGGAAGAAACTTTCTACAGATGCAGCTCCTGTATTTTTCAGTTGCAGGTAACAACATCAAGCAAGCTGTTCGATTTTTTTTCCCTTTTTCTTCAGTTGAGGATTACATTATAAGCAAGTTTGCTCAACTTGGTGGTCCAACGAGGAATTTTTTTTTATTAATTCTATGTTAAATATATTTCCCAGTTTAGGTGTCCCGTGCTTCCTAGTTTCTGGTATAGATCCAGATTTTGCAGTTCTGTTCTGAAGAGGACATTGATACTGCTTGCTGTCTTCATGTATCATACAACGGGTTGTATATTCTGTGCAATTCATAATCTATAAGCTTGTACTTGTCAAAGCAGCTTTTTTTTCTTACTAAAACAGTAAAACCTATAAGGCCTTGTTATTTTTTCTTTTTCCCTCGTAAAACTACCTGTGAATTCAAAAGTGGTGAATGGTGATGATAGGGAGGGGTGAAAGTTACAATTGGCAACATGCTTGTTCCGATCTACGTAAAATGGTCCAGTCGTCCAGGGTCCTAATATAGTCTGTCATGTTGTGAACCTGTTTTTTGTTTCATCCAAGGTAGTGAATGAATCAAAACCCTTTTTTTTTAACTTTTTTTTTTCGTTGACACTTTTAACAGAGGATCTTATTTCAGAACGGTGAAATATTCCCCAGAAGAGAGACCCTCCAAGAGCTAGAGTTTGTCATGAACCAAATGTTCCCAATTGATCTCAAAACTATTTTTTTTTTCTTTATTTGCAAATTCAAAAGACATTTTTCGTCCACGATTGTCGCCCTAAACCTGAAGGTACACAGCAGCGTGTGTTTGACATCAACTGCATGGCCAACATGATATTGTCAGACTTTGATTGACAGTGAAGAAAACTGAAGTGCACAATCCACTGCTAAACGAACAGCCACCATTTCAGCAAATTCCATATCAAAATAATTTTGCCAGACTTCACATGAACAGCCACCATTTCGGTCAATGGGATTTGGTTCCCATTGATTGTGATAGCCATATTATATTCATGTGATATACATTCTCCCAAGTGCGTAACTTTCCCACTTGAGGTGGGTGAAGTTGCCAGCACATGATGAGACAAAATTGTCCTTATTAATAATTTTTTTATAGTTAAAATGGTTATTATTTTAGTTAAGAAACAGAAGAGCAATGGATAAGTAAATTTACCTAAATGACCAAATGAAAAACAAACGAGGGTAAGAGAAATGTGCAAAAGTCATGATGAGTTTTAGACATGGTTTTCAAAACCAGACCGGACTGGACGGAAAACCAGGAACTGGTCACCTGACCGGTTCCGTTTTCCCCCAAAACTGTTGATTTTGATCAGCAAACCGCTGAACTGGCTGGTTAACCATTCGAACCATTCAAATGGTTTTGATCGTTTTTCAATTTTTTTACTTTTTTTGTCAGAACGGGCTGGTCATTCGGGTTGAACGGTTGGACCGTTCGAACCGGTAACTGGACCCCTGACTGGTTTGGTCACTGGTTCGTTTTTAAAAACCATGGTTTTAGATATCTATCCCAAAAAAAAAATATTAACACAAAGGAATGGCAAGATTGCTTATATACAACTCTTTTTGTGTGCATAATTAACTAATAAAAAATAAAAAAAAAATCTTGTTGAAAAATGCATGCCTTTGATGGAAAAGAAAAGATTCAATTAGAAAGGAAACAAAAAATTTTGGCCTACGGCAAATGCCTTGCAGTCAGAACATTGAAAGAAATGAGAGAGTTTTCATAAATATGTATTCCTTCATATTCAATGAGACTAGAATATGAAGGAATCATTAGCCTTTTTTTTTCGAAACCTTAAGAAACTAAAAAATTGACACTTATGTTTGGTTTGAAGGAAGGTTTCCCTACCTTTTCCTACGTTTTCCTTCAAACCAAATACAGCCTTAATAAAAAATTCTCTCCCAAGTAACGAAAAAATGAAACACAATTGAATTAGGCCCCGCTCGCTTTTCGGTAAGTTATTTACCCGGGTAAATGCAATTACCTGGGCAAGTTTTTCCTGGGAAGCACTTACTCAGGTAAGTGCATTTACTCATGTTCTTTTATTTTCCCGTAAATAATGTAATGACCATTTTAGCCATAAAATCCATTATTAAAAAGGGGCATTTTTGCCCCATTCAAGTGCTAGCAACTTTCCCCCTAGGTGAAAAAATTATTTATCCACCTAGGAGATGGGTATCACCTACCTGGGTAAGTGATGCCCAAGAAAATAAACTTTCCCCGATCCCTACTTAAATCTAAAAAATGAACATAGGATTCTTGGTCAATGGGAACCAAAATCCCATTGACTAACTTTCCTCCCTCTTAAAATATAAAAAAAAAAGAACGCTCCCTTAATCATTTTTCCTATTGGTGGCACTTTCTCTTCAGACTCAGGTTCCTATGGAGCTATCTGTTTATCCCAATTGCTAACTTGTCTTGGTATTGTAGGGGGGGGG